CAAAAATAGCAAATAACAACTGACCATTAATACACAAGATGACATAACCCAGAAACCACAGCTATGGACATATCCAAAGTAAAATGAGCTTACAAGATCGTAAACAGGGAACCAGAGACATCAATTGGCAAGTGAGGACAATTACAAACAAAAGAGGGAAAAGACTGTAGTTACAGAACTTCTAAATGGTGAGGAAATTAAGAAAGTTGAAAGATAGAATGGACTGTTCTAAACTCGGGGAGAAAATTGTACATTATGCTGAGTGAAATAAGTCAATCACAAAAGGACAAATATTGTATTACTCCGTTATTGTAAAAGTTAAGGAAAGGTTACAATAGAAGGAAATTTTCTTTGTTGGTTACCAGGGGTGAGAGGGGAGGGGAGGGAATGCTGTTAGATAGATAGAGATAAGTATTGATTTGGGTGAAGAGAAGGGCAATGTGCCAAATGTGAGTGACCAATATGGTGGCATTGACGAAGAGAAAGACATAGAGAGGTACATGGGAGGTACAGACAATAAAGATGAACCCTCTTGCACATACAGTACTGTGTTGTCACTGAAGGCAAACATGGGTATATGAGTGGATAGATGGGTGGATAGGCTGAACGATTAGGTATGTCTATGAAATGGGAAGTGTATTCAAGAATATGTATAGAGTTGGCAGACAATGGTCCTATAAGTTTATGTGAATGATCGGAATTCCCAGGTGTATAGTAGAGATGACAAGGGACAAGGTTTTGGTCACTGCTTCATCACAGCCAGCTACCCAGAGGGACCGAGTAGTTGAACCTGCAGGCTTGGGACCATAGTCGCAGTGGACATCAAGCTTAATTGGCATAACATACTATACAGAACACTGTTCCACCTCCTACTTTGGTGAGTAGCACCTGGGATCTTAAAAGCTAACAAGCTGTCATCTAGATGCAACAATGGGTCTTTCCTCGTCCAGAGCAAAGAAGAATGAACAAAACCAAAATTCATGGAAACAATTAGTCCTAGTGACTGGTACACCATCCGATCTGCAGCCTACACGACTATGAGACCAGAAGAACTAGATGGTGCCTGGCTAACACTGTCATCCACTTGGAAAGGGATCTATGTAGGAGATCCTTGATAGAGAAGGAGAACAATGTGGAACAAAAC